TTTTAAGATTGGAGAAGGTTCAGAGAGACTGGGTCATTCCAGGAACAGGCAGAAGGACACAGACATGCAGAGATTGGGCCTGTTCACTCCCTGGCATACGTCCCTTCTTGTTTCAGCAGCCTTCTATCTTCCTTATTTTACAACAGGAACAAGCTATTCAGTCTTTCACAAAGCTGCTGGTAAGGGATGTTTTTTAATTAGCTGTTCTTACCTTGAACACTAACTCATGATGTACTTCTGTCTCTGGAGAAGTTGGGAGTAGCAGCGCACCCTGCTGTTAACTTTTGTGCTCAGGTAAGCTCAGCATGTTGCTGTTTTGCACATACACACTTCAGTGGGGAGATATACATCTCTCCAGCCCACCTAATACTTTGTGCCATGGTCAGAAGACCTTCAGGTACTCATTTTTCTCTGCCCCTTTTTAAAAGAGAGAATAATCTTGTTTGGCTGGGTGGGGTATTTGTAACAGAAAAATGCCTAGGTGGTCTGCCTTATTCCTTCTCTGTGGAGGAAATATTATTTATCAGAGCTCAAGACAATTATAGACTGTAAATAATATTTTGTAAATAAACCTGTGGCAAAGCAGGCTGTGTTGGAGTTCTTTGGCTTATTTCAAATGGAGTTAAGACCTTTAATTTAGCATATATGTATTCTAAGTTCCTGCAGGGTCCTGTTTAGTTGTTTCAGCCAATGATCTTTTGTCCATTTAACTGCAGATTTCATCTGGAAATGCAGTTGCAGTAGCATTAAAGGGTATGCATGCAGCTGGTCACTTCAGATTCTTTTCTCTAAACCCACTTACAGCTATAGCCATCTATTAGCCAAGTCCACCTTTTTTACAGCTCTTATGTTTATTCCTAAACCATAAGACACATTAGAAGCTACTGCTGTAGTTTCCTGAAATCCATAGGAGTAGTACTTCACTATGATGTTCCTAAGACTTTCTCCTACCTGGAAGGAGTAGTCACCTCAAGATTATTTTTCAGTGCTCGAGCTAAATCTAGATTGGCAAAGCAGGTGCTAGCCATTCAGCAATCAGTTACTTGCTGTAGATAGCTATCAGTTTCCATAATTGTGGAATAATAGCTCCAAATTCTTAAGGCTACAAATTATAAATTCCTTGCTCGTGAATGTCTTGCCTAACCATAAATCACTGAAGGGTAAGAAGCAGAGAACTCAAGAATTGCAGCCTAAAGAAAGAAGGCTGGTTTCCATTCAACATGAGAAGTAGTAGAGTATACACAAGGAACCACAGTATACACGTACCTTCGCTACTCAAGTAGTAGTAAGAGATACAGCTCGCATGATAAACTCCTACTGTGAGTCTTTTTAGTGTATCAGTAAGTTCAGACTTAAGTATCTTTAACATGAAATACAGATAATGAAGTTGCTACATGGCAGATAGCCAGGCTAGAAGATAAGCCCTGAATGAGGCTGGTGCAAGATTGTGAGATTGTGTCATGTATATGTAAATGTTAGCCTGTCTTTGCAGATGACAGAAAATTGGGAGCGGTTAATACATCAGATAATTGTGGAACTAACAGACAGGAGAAATGGGAATGGAAGGAGACTCATGAAGTTGAGCAAAATGCAGAGCCCTATGGCTGAGGATGAATAGCCCCATGCACCAGTACACACTGGAGACTGGAGACTGACCGGCTGGAAGCAGCTTTGCAGGAAAGGGCTTGCAGGTTATAGAAAAGAGGGAGTGGCTCTTGAGCCAGCAACGTGCCTGTGTAGCAAAGGAGGCCAACAGTGTCAGGGCCACATCAGCAAATGCATCACAAGTAGCTGGAGGGAGGCAATTCTTCCTCTATTCAGCACTGGTCAGATGTCCAGAGTGTTGTGTCCAAAGAAGGACATGGACTTACTGGAGCAAGTCCAGTGAAGGTATTAGAGCATCTGACAGAGCATATGAGGAGAGGATGAGAGAGCTGTGACTGTTCAGCCTCAAGATGAGAATGCTTGGGAGGCTGTTATCCTTGTGTATAACTACCTGCTGGGATGAAGTGAAGAAGAGGGAGACAGACTCTCCGCAGCTGGATCCAGTGAAAGGAGAAGCGGGAACACATCAAAACGCAATAAATTCCATCTCAAGGTAAGAAAAAACCCAACTTACTGTGAGAGTTGTTAAACACTGGAACAGGTTACCCAGGAAGGTTGTTGAGTTTCCATCCTTGGAGGTATTAAAAAAAATGAGGAGCTACATTCCTGAGCAACCTGCTCTGGTTGACCCTGCTCTGTCCCTTCCTTTTGGGAGCTGCTGAATCAGCTGGCCTGACAGAGAAAAGGCTGCTCAGTTCCATGTCCTCAGGTACAGCCACTAACAAGCCTGAGCACGTATTCCCAATAGGCAGTCATGCACACAAAATATACATGTATAATGTACATACGCACACACACTGCATGACTGGCCTGAGGCAGAAGGCACAGCAGTCATGCAAGCACAGCACAAACAGCCTGATCCTACTACCTTCTCTGGCTCATCAGGATGAACCTGTTAGCAGGAAATATACATAACTCCTCCAGGAATTAACCTTAGACATTGGCTCTACCCAGCACCTGGCCCCAGAATTGCCTGGTCTCCCACTCACATCACACACAGAGGCAAACTGTTCTCTAGTAGCTGGGAACAGCTACTGGCTTATGAGTAGCTGACTTCCAGACCTGAGAGTAGCTGGCTTGGACCTCCTGGTAGCTCTCGCAACTGGTCTTTCCAGCATCTGGCCAGACTTGCAGTCATGCCAACTCCTGGCTCTCAAGTCTCTCACCAGCTACCCTGACTTGATTTTTGCTAGTGATTAAGCATGGACATGCACACCCACACAATATGCATATCCACTCAGGTATTTCCAGTTGCTGGCACTTAGCTCTCCACATGCACTGAACAGAGTTTCTTCACATGGCGGGGGGGAAGTTCATTAAGAAGGCAGGACAGACTGTGCTGACGACACACAGGGCATGGCCAGACAAGTGTACTGCACAGATGCAGCCAACCCCTTTTGTCCCCTTTTCTCGTTTTCCCACAATTCTTCCTCTTCTTAAATCACTCTCTTCACCTGCCTTTGAACCTGCCCCTAACCATCCCATAACCAAAGTGGTGCGCAGTCCCCAAACGCTATTCCCTCTACACACTATGCCCCTCAGAGGGACTAACCTGCCCTTAACCTGCAAGGTGATGCAAAGAGCCCTTGCCATTGACTCCACTGGGCAGGTTTCAGACACAAGGGCTATGGTCCTCTGCTAGCTCTGGGAGGAGCTGGGTTAGAGTGCATCTCCTGCATCACTGTCTCCCTCCTCTGTGCTCCTTGGGCATGAGCTTTTAATCACATAATCTAGAAACCACCACAGAGCAATGCCTACAAACCAGCAAGAACTCAAGAAAGAGAAGAACACAAATGTACAATTTACTCTCTGCTCATCCTGTAGGAAACCACATTTACTGGGTCAATTTGCAAGAAGTCACTAAAAATTTCCTCAAAACCGGCAAGAGAACAAGAGTAGGTTCCATGTCTTTGATTCGCAGAAACACTGAGGCTTACCACAAAGCAGAGTTTCACCTGTAGGTGTCAAGGCAGTACTGCGCTTAAAACTATAAACATCAAGCACACACTTTCTGAGTACCAATAGTTAGGGCAAAGCAAACAAAGTGACCACTTTATTCCAGTCTGATGCAAGCGACTTGTAATAACCCACCTCACAGTGACTCATCAAGGAATCACAGTCTTGCTGTGCTGAAATGCAGTCTTCCACTGCTTTAACTGAAAGCTGTTCTTCAGGCTCAGAAAAGTAGAAAACTAAATTTCAAAAGGACTGCAAGAGGTGGAGAGAGAGAAAGGCCACTTGGAGATTCCTTCACCTCTGGAGGCTAGGTGGAATAGCAAGAAGACATCCTCTACCACCTAAGATAGCAATTCTCATGGGCAGTTGAACAAATACAGCAGACACGCGTTAATGGAAAAGAAAACCCACATTTTATTGAATGCAAACAGTGGTTGGACAGTGTAGTTAGTTATTCAAAAGGTTCATCTGGTTTGAGAATTTCTAGTCCAGGAAATGTGGCTCAGTGCAGTAATGCTTAGAGCCAGACAGTACATTGCATTTACACTGCAGCAGCTTTCACTGACAGCAGTGAAAGAACTCCTGCTGCAAGAGGGAGACATTCCTCAGTCTGCTGAATTCTCATCCACGCACTGAGACACCTCTCCTCACTATGTGCTGCCCATCCTTGTGACAGCCGTTATTTGTAAACATGCATTCTTTGGACTGCTTTGCTACTCTGGTGCCCAGCCTGGCTGTCCAGAAACCACACTGGGAAATGACTCATTTTGGGGAGGGAAAAAGTTTCTTTAAAAAAAAAAAAAGTTTCCAAATTCAGGAACAGAGCAGGATTCCAAATATTGCCAGTTTAATCTGGCTAAGGAAGAAAAAGTGACAGGACAGGTAGCCAGCAAAATCCATTTAAAGACAGAAAAGCTATAGTAGGTTAGCTTTTTCCAGCAACAGTGATTCCCAATATGTTTTGCCCCCACACTCTAACTCAGGAGTGAGGGAGGTGGCATGGAAAGACATCTGATAACGAGGTGACACAAGAGAAAAAAAAAGGTCAAAGACAGAAGCGGTGCCAAGATGGAGGCTTCCACCTTCTAAGGTCAAACCGTCATTCTTGGCTCTGTGCAACAGAAGAATGATCAGCCCTTCCCAGCACCTGCCACCTTGTTACTTCCATCAGGCGGTGGAGGAGGTCTGGTCTTTCTCCTCCAGAGTCTTGAGGGAAGAGAGAGACTGTGCACCTGCCTTGATCACAGCCCCCATCCTGGAACACACTGTGGCAAGGAAGCGGCAACAGGAGAAGAGGTCCTTTCTTGGTGGGTGTGCAGACTGAAGCCTAAGAGTGTCGAATCCTACATGAGTAAAGAACTGTGCTGGCATAGTCTCCATTGGTAGCAATCCACCTTGTCAGGCGGAGGGATAGATCAATGGCAGGGAGGGGAAGAGTAAGGGTATGGCCACTCCGAGCTCCTCAGCGTGCCGTTTTGGCACGAACTGTGTGACATCTGATACACAACACGTGCCCATCCAGTGGAAAGCACCCATTCTCATCTGCTTCAATGGACAAGGGCTTCCCACAGTCCTAAATAGAGAAAGAAAAGAGGGAGGGAGCTCAATAACAGCCAACAGCAGGGTAAGTGCATTCAAGGATGTCAGAAATGCCCCAATGGATCAGGGTAATATCTCACAGCCCACTGGCCTGTCTCTGATGGCGCTAATGGGAGATACTATTTTGAGGGAAGAGCAAGCCCCTTCTGTGATACCCTGATGTATATACAGCTGTTGTATTAGGGACATTAGAGACTACAATCCTGCATAGTTCTTGTTCATGGACCCGTGGTCTGCGAATGTCTCAGCTTTTTCTGAACCTGCTTCAAAAATGCTCCAGACTCATTAAAAAACCACCTAAGTATTTGGTCAGGATAGGCAACAAAGGTGCCCAGCTGGTGGTGATGAGCATGGGGGGAGATGGAAGGAGTGGAGTCACCAGGCTTACCTCACACTTGTAACATTTCATGTGGAAATTTTTCTCCAGTGCCACCACACGCACTGTCTCATCCTTTCCAGGCTCTGGCATGATAGGCTCACTACAGACTGAGCAGCGTGGAGCATACTTTCTGCAACACACAAAAATGTGGAAGAGACCATGATGACCATGCAGTGACATTCAATGCAAGTTTCTCACTGCAGTACTAGCAGCAGAGAAATGATAAATCACAAAGAAGTTTAGGGAAAGTGACAAGTAGCCAGCAAAATCCATTGGAAGACAGAAAAGCTACAGTAGGTTAGCTTTTTCCAGCAACAGTGACTGCTACAAGGTACACTGCTGACTCATTTTTAACTTCATGTCCAACAGATCACGTGGGCAACTCAGCACCACATTCCAACAAAATTAAACAGATGTAAGGCAATCTGCCTTCTTTCAGACATCACACGCACAGGCTGTCTCCATACCTGTGGTAGTCATCGACACAGTGAGGCTGGTTGGCCTGGTCCACAATAAAAGAGGTCCCCTCCAGAGGGGTATGGCACATCACACAGGTGAAGCACTGGGGATGGTAAGAGTTACCAGTGGCCTTCAGCATCCGGTCTGTGATGGTCTGTTTGCAGACACTGCACTTTTCCAAGGTCCCCTGAGAGCAGAGGAACAAGTCAGACACATTAATCCAAAACCCCAGTCCTGGAAGGCTGCACCACAGACAGACAAGATGGAAGAAGGAAGGGAAAACAAGAGAGAAAAACCACAGCAAGATCAGCTCTCTCCAGCAGCTTTCATCCCACTGACTCACAGCATAGCAGTCCTCGCAGAAGGGCTTCTCATCCACATTGTAGAACTGCTGCCCCTGCAGCTGCTTCTCACATTTGAAGCAGGTGAAGCATTCCACATGGAAGAGGCAGTCCAAGGCCCTCACAGCTGGCTGAGTTCGTGACAGGGGCTTCCGGCAGAAGCCACAGAGCTCTGTCAATGGAAGAAAGGGACTATGAGATGAAAATCCACCATAGTCTTAGTCCTACTGCTGTCCACTGAGGGAACGCACCAGAAGTAGCAGCCTCTGCTGCGGGTGGATGCTCCATATCCTTCATTAGTTTTTGGGTCAACTTCTCCAGCTCTTCTACCTCCTTCATGGTCAGACAGGAATTCCCCCTAGGTGAATCTGCACTGGAGCCTGTGGGTCTATGCTGCAGGAAGAGGAAACATTCAATCCCAAAGGACATATATAGACAGACTCCTTGCCACCCTGTCCCTAATAAACCTACTTCTCTCACCTTCACTTCTCTCTGTCTCTAGGGAACAATCTCCCACCCACTGTGCTTGCTTCTTTCCACCTTTATGTGAAGTCCTATCCCTTTCCACCACTGCCTCTAGTTACATCTCTCAGATTGGTGACAGCTTCCCTGAGCCTGAGACAAATCCTCCCTCCTTATCCTCCGACTTCACTCCCAGTGATACTGTGCCTTCCCAAAGACACTGGTCCCATGGCTCTATCCCTTACCGTGTCTTTTGCAGCAGCGGGATGTTCTGTGGGACGTGGCTTTTCCTGCACTTGGGGTTTTTCCCTCTGCTGGGCATAGGTGAAATTGGGAGGCTGTGGCCGAGAGGAGGGACCTGAAGGTGAAGGAGCTGTGAACTGAGTCTGAAGGGAGGTAGGATATCTTGTGGAGTTTGAGGGAGCCACAGGATCGCTGGCACTTGATTTGGACCCAGACTTAGGAGAGCCAGAAACAAGGGGTGGGGTGAATTTAGGGGTAGTCTGGGCAGGAGGGAGAGAGGGGGGTGGAGGGACTGGTGCTAGGGGTTCCTTGCGTTGCTGTGGGGCTGCCCATGGAGTTGGAGAGGGGTTCAAATCCACTCCAGTGGGCTTGAAAGGTAAGTTTCCACTTGGCTTTGGAGTGAACTTGGAAGGAAAGGAATGAGGAGTATCTTTAGGTGCAGATGGTATTTCCATATGGGCTTTTGGGGCCGATGGTTTCTCAAGAGAACCTGCAGATCCTGGAGATATCTGTAAAGGGAAGCAGCAGAGAGAAACAGGCACTTATCAGCAAGGCAGAAAATGGGCTGTCTATAGCAGTAAGTCAGCAGCTATTCCAGACCCACAACGCTGAGCTCCCACGCTGTTACGTGACCTAACAAGTTACAAGATCTATGCTTTCTGGTCCTTCACATACACTTTTGTGCTATGGTTTATCCAGACATTTTACATCTTCAGTAGCACCCTTCTTTATACCTCCGTTCAATAAATCAGTCATCTCTCCTTCCACCTGCAACAGTCTGGAGAGCTCACCCGGGATTTGAAGGGGTCATTCTTCTCCATGTCATCCAACATTACGGACAGTGAGTCAATCTCAAGATCAATGCTGCTCATCTTGCCACGTACCTACACCACCGTCCATGAGGAAAGAGGGAGCAGAGCACATTACAGGAACAGCCAGAGAACTGGGTATATCCCCCTTAAAATAGCAGATTTTGACACTTTGGACTGTGGTACAGATCTGCTCCTTGCTTTGAGCGGACAGCAAGTTGGTGAGGATGAACAGTCTCCAAGGTCTATAAACAGTGGGGAAAACGTAGAGCCCGAAGAAACTCACAGACAGACTTAGGTGGGAAAAGGACATCCGGAGGTCTCTAGTCCAACAACCTGCTCACAGCAGGGCTAACTCCCAGGTGAGACCATGTTGTTCAAAAGCCTTGTCCAGATGACTTCTAAACATCCCCAAAGATATAAATTCCCCAGCCTCTCTGGACACCTGTACAAGTGTCAAGCCACCCTGCTTTTTTTTCTGTCCAATAGGAATTTCCCTTGCCGCAACATTTGTCCATTGTCTCTTGTTCTCTTGTTGTGCCTCTGTAAGAAGAATCTGTCTTCTCTCCAGCCCTCCTTTAGGTATTGCAGACTGTAGTTAAGAGCCCTACCTTGGCCTCCTCTTCTGCAGCCTGAACAAACCCAGCTCTCCCATCAGGTGCTCCAAACCCAATGATGACTATCATCTTTTTTTGGACTGCACCTAGTTCAGTATTCCTCTGGGGTTACTATACCAGGGAGCCCAAGCAGATACAGTCCTCCAAGATGCAGTCTCACTAGCACAGAAGAGAGAAATAATCACTGTTCTTGTCCTGCTGACTCCACTCTCACAAATGCAGCCCAGCATGTGGTTGGCTGTTATTGCCAAAAGGGTGCAGTGCTAGCTCACATTCAACTTGCTGTCCACCAGGAACCCCAGGTCCTTCCTCTTCAGAGCTGCAGCCTGGCCAGTTGACCCTAAGCTGTGCTGGTGCATGGGGTGGTAGCATTTTCCACTTGCCCATATCTCAGGGCTTCCTGTTGCTGAGTTCAGAGAATAACGAGAAGCTGTCCCAACTCAGAAAGCATCACGAGAAACTACGCTTCTCTTGATCTCACTCACCTCTGGGGCAGGTACCTTGCTCACAGGCCCTTCATCAAACATCGGTGGAGGAGGAGGAGGAGGAGAAGGAAAAACGTCTTCTGGGGCTGGTGGAAAAGGCTCTTCAAAGGGTGGTGGAGGTGGGGGAAAAGCACAGTTTGAGGAGAAACTTGCCTCCTCTCCAGGTGGGGGAGGAGGTGGCAGCGGCAGCTCTATGAGGAAGAGTAAGAATAAAAGCAAGCTTGGATTACTTCTTAGTCTTAGCCAGTACAAACCCCTGGAGGAGTCTTGCAGGTATTACAGCAAGTAATTCCCCAGTACCCAGGGGAACCCAGCACCCATCAAAGACAGTTGAACTCCACAGGCTGTCTTTCACCTTGTCCAAAGCTATTTGCTGTCACATAAACTTTCCTCAGTAGCTACTGCAATTAGTCTCTAGGAATAGTTGGAAAACATGCCCTTTCCCACCCCTCCTCTCATACTTTGGTCCCTAGCATATGCTTCCAAGCCAGGAACCGTCTCAGACTACTGAATACTGAGCAGCATTAGAAGGAATGACAGCAGACAACCCAGGACCCTGAAGAGCCTGCATTATTTCAGGAAAATAAACTGGCACCTCACAGCTGGCTAATAAGCACTACAAGAAACAAGTGGAGGGGAAAAAACCACGTAGGACCAACTACTCCTTATGTGTATGAGGAATCTTTGAAACTGCTTTATTTTTCTGGGAGATGAAAACAGCTTTCCTTCTGGAGGCTAAAATGCCCCCACACTTGATATAAATTAGGACCTGAGCAATTTTCCAGAACCCGTTTAAGCAGGCTGAAAAGCATCAGAGTGCCTTAGTCTCCAAGAAAAAAAAAAAGCCACAACACACCATAGTTTTCACCTATTCATATTTGCTGAGGATGTAGTAAAAAATGTCTCTTTTTGCCTGTTCCACAACACAGTCAAATAAATGTGAATCCTCTTCCCTTTACCATGTATGGAAGAAGTTGTCCTCTTATCCGAGCAGGAAAGAACATTGAAGACAAGGAGGCATAACTTCAACATGCCTTCTTCTGGACACGCACCTTTCTTCCTAGCTAACTCCAACCAGCAGTAGGGTGGAAGACCCATTTTTCACTCCTGCTGCTCCATGCGCAACTTTTAATAGCAATAATGGAATTGTGTCATCTTTATACCCAGCTGTTGTCAGGACTTCTCATCTGTAACCTAAGGGAGATAATACTGCCCTTTCAGAAAATGAAAGCTGAAATCTTATTAGCCAGTGGAATGCATAAACTGCACTGGTATGCACCACCTCTTCCAAGCCTTCTTGTGCCACAAAAAATTCTGCTGGGTGTGGGCTGGGGGAGGGGGGAATAATAGGTTGGTACTTTTTCTTTGAAACTGTATACAGTTTGGGATGAAGTTTGTATTTGTGTTTATGGAAATGATAAAGAATATTGCAGGAAGGAAGTCCCGATCTGCTGTCACATTGTTTCAGACGCACTAGAAGTCTGTTCTATGAATTATACAAACAAAAAGGTTCCCCACAAAGTTACTACACCAGATTTATAGAACGACCAATACTAAATATAACATTCCTACAGCAATACTAATTTAGCCATTCTGTCATGTAAGACAATGTGACCAATTGCTAGGGATTTATGATAAACCACTGTTTGTTTCGGAAGCATGTAAGAAAGGGAGAGAAGGATTGAAGAGACGCATCATGGAAGGATCAAATCAGATGCATTTCTCTCATGACTAAGTTTTGGGGGTTCACCTGTACAGATGCCTTGCTGGCAGCCCTCACGCAGTGGTGAGGCAGCAGCTTAGGCCAAATGGTTCTTTTGTTCATCTCCCTGTCAGGTTAGTTCCTCCATAATAAGCTTTATAAGGAAGGGAGAAGTGGAGCAAACACCACCCAATCCTCCATTCGCACCACACTGAGAAATAATTTTTAACATCCATTTGTCTGCTTTGGTAATTCATATAATATATTTGTGTCAGTTTGAGATCTTCCAACAGATACATCCCTAATCCACACAACTAGGGCAGAAAATCATAAAGTCTAAACTGGTACCCTGGATCAGAGATACAAGATTCCAGCCAACAACATATGAGAAAAAGATCACCAGACTTAGCTGGTACAGCTCTAGGAGATAGAAGCACCAACATGATGAAGTCTTCATGACTTCAGAAATAATAAAAATGGCTTAATAACTTGTCTTCGCTGAGCACAGGACCAGCCTTCTTCCTATGCGGTGAGCTGCCCACTAACTTAGCGTGCTAACCCAGAAAACGTTAGTGCTGTACCGTCTTTGCTAGACAGTGAAAGAAATTTAAAACAGCACTTAGCATTATCTGAAAATACATATCCCAACTGAGGTGCACCCCGACAGAGCGTCAGGGTAACGTGAAGCACCAAGCATTAGCAAGAGGTCCCTAGGGAAATTTCCAGCAGTCCCATGCTGATCAACTCCAACTACACAGTCACACAACCAGGAACCTTCTGCTTCTTAGAGGGCACAAAACCAGCCAACCAATAAAAGAAAAACCAAAAAAACCAACAACCCATCAACACAGGAAATAAAAAACCATAACGAACAAAAAACTAAAACAAAAAAATCCCCGCACTAAAGCAAGAAGTCACTCTACATGGGAAAACACACCCAACCCAAATCACTAAGAAAAAGTGTAAAGTACGACAAGCCGTGCAAACGCTAAGTCTCACTTCCTCTTTATGACAGCTTTCACCATTTTTTCATGCAATTATTTCTTTCTCCTCATCTCTAGCAGCAAAGATTACAATTGTAGAGTCCATGAGAAGGATCTCTACGGCCAGAGACAAGGAACTTGAACTGAGATGAACCAACAAGAAGGAGAATAGCATGATTCATCACCATCAGGGTTAACTTCACTGAAACATATTTGGTCTCAAACATGCTGGCCAGACACTGACTGCAGTTACACAATTATGCACTCAGGGAATATGATGAAAACTCCATTGCATTCCTCTGGCATCAGAGTACAACTGCCTTCCTGCCTCTTTTCCTAATGGCAATACTATACACTTTGCGTTCCCTTTACTACCATTCTTAACTCCTCCTGGAATTTGCCAGCCTCTAGAGCAAGAGTATCCATCACTTATGCCCTTGTTCTCATGTTTAGCCCAGTTACAGACCTCACACCCCAAGAATTTAGAAATGCATATTCTCGTCTGTCAGGGCAGCCCTCACCTACCTTCTGTCAGCAGGGACGTGGACGCTGACGGAATCTCCCCCACCTTCCCTATCTGAGCTCGCTGGGCACCAGCTCCAGGAGGTGGAGGCAGCGGCGACTCTGACGTACCCCCAGCCTTGAAGGGGTTCACCTTGGGTTTTGGGGCAACCACAGGTGCAAACTTCTTCTGTGGGTTGTAGAAGGAAGGGGTAGAAATGTTGATACTGACTGTGGATGTCATGCGGGTCCCTGAGGCTCCTGGGGAGGCCATGTTCTCAGCACCTGGCAGGAAAGAAGAGGGAGCAAATATGAACCCAGCCAGAGTAGGGAGAAACATGTGAAACACAATACAGGAGTTTAAGTCTGGCCAGAGGCTGAAGCGCCTGAGCAGAGCACAGAGCACTTGCAGTACCAGCGCAGGAGAAAGGAGGAACAGAAACTGCAGACAGATCAAATGAGCCAGCACGCTTCACCATTTCGACTCAGGACGGCATTAACCACAAAGGGGTTCTTGCCACAGAGAAAATCAGGCTCTTGGCTGCACTCACACATAGAACCATAGAATAGTTTCAGCTGGAAGAGACCTTGAAGATCATCGAGTCCAGCCTTTATCCCAGCCCTATCACACCACCAAACCATGTCCTTCAGCACAACATCCACCCATCTCTTAAACCCCTGCAGGGACAGTGACTCAACCACCTCCCTGGGCAGCCTGTTCCAATGGCTGACAACCCTTTCAGTAAAGAAATTCCTCCTAATAACTAACCTGAACCTCCCCTGGCGCAACTTAAGGCCGTTTCCCCTTGTCCTGTCACTCTCCAGGAGGGCAAAGAGGGATGCTGGAGAGGACAGCAGAGGGCCACCGGCAGCAGCGTCCCCAGCTGCGCACACCAAGCCCCAGGTGGCCTACGGAGGGTGCCCTCGTACCTGCTCAGCCAGAACTGCGATCAGCATTTCCTCTCCCCCACCCACCCG